ACTAGACCATCGAAGCATGAGTTGGAGGGATCGACGTTTATAGGGTGGGTGTTCCCGCCCTTTTTTTAATGACGTCACGAATGGGGGGATACCCCACCCCCCTCTGGTGACGTCACGTCACGTGTCTTAATTCCCCGTGTATAAAAATGGTGCGCCTTGGTGGTTGTAGCTCGACTGATGAAGCTTGAAGTGAGTTTGCCGTTGGTGAAGATTACTTTGGAGGTGGACGTTTTTGCGCTTGCTATCATTGGAGTAATTGTCGTTGAAGTTTGTCATTTGAAGTCTTAAAGAAATAGTGGAGGTGAGTTCGAAAGCATGGATACCTTGAATAGATGTAACGAGAAGATGGTGACTTTAGGAAAGCTGGTCAAAGAGTGGAAGGAGAGTGAGAAAGAAAATAGTGGTAGTTTTTTTATACAGTAATTGGCATAGCCTGTCAGGTTTCATTGGTGTGGTGCTGCAGGATATTGACCGTTTGTTCCTGGAACAGCAGCTGGGCTTTTTAAGTAATTTGGATGTGAAGGATTTACAAAAGGACGTGAACTGGGCTCTTAAAGCCTATAAAGACCTGTTATAATTTCATTGTGTATTTTTTAGAAATAATGTTGAGTCATTGGGACCGTATTCCTCCCGAACTACAAAGTTACATTATGGACTTAAAGTATCGCCAGGAACGATTGGACACGTTTACAGTGGAACGAAGGCGATTGTGTCAACAAATGAGATTGTATCATGCTGTGAAAGATAGATGGAGGATAGGTCGTGTAGCGTGTCACCCTTATTATTGTTCTATTTGTAATGAATTTCATATGAGACTGTATGGTCATTATCGCGATCAACGCGTGATGTTAGGTTACTCCTTGAATCAAGCTATGTGCAATATGGCAGTTGCCAAGGATGGTCTGTTAAATTCGAGAATTCATTTTGTTTTGTAGAAAAAAATGTTAAGCCGATGGGATTGTCTTCCGCTCGAAATACAAACGTACATTTTCGATTTGAAGCTGCGACGAGAACGATTGGACATGGTGACGGACCAACAAAAAGAGCTGTGTGAATTGTTTCGATTGTATTATCGCGTGAAATGTAAATGGAACCTAGGTCACGTGAGATGTCGACCTTTTAAGTGTTTTATTTGTAACGGGGTGAATTGGAAGAATGGAAATGTAACGCCTGACACTGTCTTTCATGAAAAAGTCTATGGTTCTTATAACGGACGAGAAGTCTTATTAGGTAATTGTTTAGAGCGAACGATGGAGTTCGTAGACGATGTTAAAGAAAATATTACGATCTTTTTTCCTTAGAAAATGGATCTGAAGACCAAGATACAATTAAGCCGAGAAATAGAAAGCTATTGGGATCTTTTACCATGGCACATTGCCTCTAGAATTGTCAATTTAAAAATAAGACAAGAATATTTGGATGAGGTGGAAAGAGAAAGGAGAAGAAAGTTAAATGATCAAATTGTCAAGTTGCATAAGTTGAAAGTGATGTGGGGCTTGGGTTCCGTGTTTTGTAAACCGATGAAATGCCAACACAGTTACGGACGTATTGGTTGTGAACATGTGAGATTATACGGGAGATATATTGATTTAGAGGGTAGACCTAAAGTGGCTTTTTTGGCTTTTAATTTCGATGATGCCATTCATCGTATTTACCATTTAAAATCATTTGTTGACTGTAGGACAGATACACCGTTGTGTTATGATGATCGTACCAGATATGATATGTTGAATGCCGTGGATTATTTTGGATTATAATAGGGCGTCGTTCCACTAGGGAACCACACATGTCCCGCCTGTAAAAGGTTATTGAATGGTTATGAAAATGGTTTTTCAGAACAAAAAATGGCTTCGTTTAATCCTGTGGATCGTTCCATTCGATGTGTGGTGTGTTCTCGATCCGACATGAAAGATGGTGAAAAGCTGTTCATGTTGGAATGCTGTAAAGAGGGTGTGCACAAGTCCTGTCTGAGGCAACCAACGAACGGTCGACGCGTCGTTTGTCCCCGATGTCGTATTGAGACCTGCGTCCACAATCACGTGATTCAGAAGGATC